TGTGCAAGATGCAAGAAATTCAATTTATAATTGTATATCAAACATCTAAAGTCCTCAAATCAGTCCAAACACGATATCCATTAGCCACCAAGTATAGTATTAATAATTAATTTATTACATCTAGGTATCTATGCAACGGATGAAGATAGAACTGGACTAAGAAATGAGATAGGCCATAAGAGCAAGTACTTACCCTAGGATACCACAAATTTTAAAGTCACCAAATTCAAATACATATGTATATATTTTTTTTTTTGTACTTAATGTTTACCTGAGGTCTAAATGTTTATGCAAATATGCAATATACTTTTAGTTTCTTTATATAATATCTACAGTAAAGCGGAGTGCTAGTGCCAATATTATAATTAGCGAGGTACCTACTGAATTGGGCATACGTAAACTGCGCCCGAAATTGTATCTATGTTAAAAAGGTATAATGTACAGTGCGCCCGACAACTTAAGCTGTGCCCCGTTTGTAAAATACAAAACCTTTATCTTATTAAAGTCTCTATGATTGTGCATTTTTTCAATTATGTCACAGAAATTGTATTTTCGTCTAGAAATACCAACGCGTTATCAAATAAATATTATATCCTAAAACAAAAACAAAGCGAAAAGTTACAAAATTTAATTAATAATTTTAATAATGATCAAACACCAATTGATGATTATGTAATAACAATATGTTATTATTTTTGTAATATTAATAATTATTTTACTTTTTAAAATCATATATTTTTTTTAATTCTCAATTTAATTTTTAATTATTCATATTATATGGTTGTAATTAATTAGGTATACATTAAAGATAATTTTGCAAAAATATATCTATTGATTTTTAAAATTTTAAAAATTTACATGTCACCTTTTTACATTTGATAAAAATTCGGGCGCAGTTTATATGTGTGATTTTGAGTTTATCTGTATTTTGGACGCAATTTATAATCACCGATTGAATGTATATGATCCATTGTCGGTTAACTAATTTCCAAATTGTATTAAAGAAAATTTTGTTTAAAAATTTATTAAGAGGACGTCGCACTTGCACGTGTTGTCTTCGTCCTACACGACATAGTAAATTTTCGTTCATCAGTTTCAATAGTGACGTGCTTTTAGTTTTAATATTAGAGTGAATTAACCTATTATCTAACTTATAGATAAGAACATTATCTGTGTTCTCTATTGATTTTTTACGATATTTTCATTTTTAAGTGAATTATAATCATTTTAAAACTCATTTAAAAATGAAATTAATATCGTAAAAAATCAATAGAGAACACAAATAATGTTTTTACCTAAAAGTTTGATAATAGGTCAATTCACTCTAATATTAAAACTAAAAGCACACTATTAAAACTGGTGAACGATAATTTACTATATCGTACGTGTGTAAAGTGGAAGACAACACATGCAGGAGCGACGTCTCTTTTAGCACAAAAAATATTTCATATTACTTTATAATTATTAAATTAATATTACTTATATTTTATAAATAAGGCTAGGATTTTGATAACGTTGGTCTGTAAATATAAAATGTGTTTTGGCTGATACTGATTATTTTAAAGAATTTTTTTTTCATTTCTTTGCATTTTCTTAGTTATTAGAGCACTTTTCATAATTTGTTCATAAAACGTATGAAAATTATTGAGATTAACAAAAGACTTCCGGCAAACAACCGCTGTCGACAATACTAATTATAAATTATATAGCACCACAAATTATCGTCGATAACATTTTTTTTCTTTTTAATTATTATTTTAAAATAAATGATTAAGAAAACTGAAGTACAACAGAACTAAACAACTAGCAAGTAACAACGAACAATGCTATTAAAAAAAAAAATAAAACAAAAAAAATACACTACTGTAGTATCATTTTAAATTTTTTCCCCAATTTTAAGCTATAATAAATATAATTTAAATGTATTTTTATAGTGCATTTTTTGAGTTTTTTAAATCATTTTTGTATATTTTTTTTAAGGGTTTTTTTGAGATTTGTTAGGGTATTAAAATTCCAGCCCTACTTATAAATTATAATATGCTATATATTTATAAATCAGATACCTAACTAATAAGTATAACGTTTAAAGAGACAATGTGGAGACGTAATTACGTAAAACTCACGTAATTTATGTCATTCATAGTCAACTATTTCTTATTTTATGCACAAATTAATATTATATACAGTACAAATCCATTATTAAATATCTAATTATTTAGTATAAGGATGTAACAAAAGTCAAACTGAGAAATAAATGGCTTCGGCATTCCCAGTTTTTTCATTAAAATTTCGTCCTTGATTATATTATATTAGCTGTAATTCGTATACAATTTACTGTTGAATGATGCCAATACCACTAAATACTATTCCTTGCCTTGTGTACCTCTCAAGTTTTAAACATAAAGTATAATTACTAAACTATTAAATAACTATTTTAAAACTACGGCTATACCTAGATATTGCTTGGAGAACATATATTGATTAGGTATGTCATAAACCATACATATTTAATATTGTAACAATTATTTATTAACTAAAAATATTAGTTATTAACCTAATTTTTTATTATAATTAATCTTTGACAAACATTTTAGCCTCATAAAATAGAAATTAAAATCATTATTTTTTCAAATTTTAAATTCAGATAATTAATATACGTGAATATATAAATAAATTATAAACTTTGTATGCCTCGTATGGTAATAAACCTATAAATCAACATTTATAATCAAAATTCTTTAATAACAGCATTTAAAGATCTTTATCGGTTACATCAATTTATCAATATTATACAGTTGATAGAGTAACAAAAGTACATAGCTTATACTTTGTATTTATTAAATTTAAGCCCTAGGTATGTAAAACTTTTTAGGAAAACAATGGGATCAATCTCTCAACTTCTAAAATTCATTACAAAAACTTCGTTTTAACATTTACTCCAAGTATATTAGTTACTCAATTACAACTTTAAATAATTGTCTTTATTGGAAAAATATTAATTAAAATAATCTAGTATATTTCCCTATAAATATGATAATTAATAACTATAAATTATACCTATTTGTATTGTTAAACCTCCTACATTTTATATAATAAAATCGTAAAAATGCCTACGAATTTTGTTAGCATTTGTTAAATATAATAAATAAGTCACAAACGATTTACCAACGGATGACTTATTGAACACTATGCCTTTTTTGCCGTTTTTTAGTGTTTTTACACGAAATAGACATAGCGCTATTGGTGGTATGTATTATACACACTATATTGTCTGTATTTTTAATATATATAATCTGAAGAATATTACCTTATTTCAATAGCTAATCCTTTCTTCGGCAGCCTCATTGAACAACTTCAAAGTTTAGTAATCATACAAATATAATTTTTTCACTGCACAAGTTATCACCAAAAATATGTATAAAATTTGAAATAGAGGAAATAGAGCTAAATGACCAATAAAATGTATTCAGAATTTCTAGTTTTAAAAGCACTGGCAACAGAAATTAAACTGTGGAAAAGAAAATGAACTGATTAACTAGAAAAAAACCGTCCGAATTTAGCTATTGAGGCATATACTAAATATAACTGATTTTTTTCCAAGTATATTTTATCTTTTGAAATTATTAGCTACAAAATTTCGACTTCAACGCCAGAACGCACATTTTCTACCATGAAAATATTAAAAAACTATCTTTTTTTAAACTTATTAGGTCAATAACGTCTTAAATTTCTAGCTCTTTTAAGTATACCTAATACCTATAAGTAAAGACAAATTTCAAATAATTCCAAATTCTGTGATCCATCGTTTAACAAAAGAAAAAGTCTACCAGACATTATAATATCCTATAAAAATATATAATTTGAAATTGTTTATAAATTTATCGCATAATATTATGCAGAATATAAAAATCTTATCTAAATATTTAGATATTAGGTATATCATTAAAATATAAACATTTTCTTAGAAGTTTTTTTTATATTATGAAAATATATGATTTAATCTAACACCCCTATTACTCCATGAAAATTTGTTCCATGACCTTTTTTTACATAATATACATGTACAAAACATTTAAAATTATATGTATAGTTCTCCTCTCCAAATTGTGTTGTACCACTTTCACCTTAGTTTTATTGTAAACAAATAATTTTTGTCTATATACAATTAACACTTACATACTTTATAAGAATAATACTTACTAGTAAAATACTAATATTGTCAATATGTGTAAAAAGCACATTTTTAGATTAATATTACCTTAATAGTAAAAGTGAATTCTTAAACTCTTTAAACCTTTGACCACCTCAAATTTTTAAGAAATTCTTAAAAAATTTGAAATATTTAAATATTTAACAACAAATTAATTTTTTAATTTTTAATTTTTGATTAATGTAAAATTGTTAAAACTTTTAAACTTAAAGTAAAAGTTTATTTTACTGCTATTATATTTTAAAATATGTGAGATTAAATTTTTTAAAGCTAAAAAATTTGAATTAGATAATAGATTCTATTTTAAGTTTGAAATCATGAAAACTTCAATTCAATTTATCATTAATTATTTATAATAATTGATTTCCATAGTAAAATCAACTGTTTAAAATTGGTAAAAAAAATATTACCATAGAAATAATTATTTTGTACTCAAACACCATAATGCACAAAACTAAAAAAAGGATTTTTAATTTGTGTATTGTAAAATATACTAAATATTAATTATCATTAAAATTATTTATAAAACTAAAATCTATGAAGAAAATCATACTTTACTTAAATATTAAAATTAAATACACGTTTAAGTAGAATATGTAGTATTGAACTATAACAAAAATTAATGGTAAAACCAAGACTTGAAATATTATTTAAAATTATTTTTTTTAACAAATGCATAGATAATGTGCATAAATATTGTATTCAATGTATAAATAATAATGAATAATGCATACAATTTATTATTATGAAATATAATTAAATTATTATTTATATAATTACATGTATTTTTTTATTGAACAATACATAATTATTTAATAAACTATCTTACATTTTTTAATGACTCTTTCATTAAATTTATAGCATTGAAATCTTCTTTGACTACTGTTTGCATTTCGGATATCATAGTTTGTTGAAGTTCTAAAAACTACACAATTAATTTTAGTAATTGTTATTTTTATAATAAACAATTATAAATTATGTACAAATATCTTCATACAAAAAAATGAATTATACTTTACTTACGTGTTTAATTTCTTCAGCTACTTGTGGAATACAACCTGAATTACCTTTTGAATCTTCTGATAGTTCTGAATTTTTTAATCGAACAAGAGTAGCAATTTCGGTTAACTTTCCCTTTAAAGACATATTTAAATTTATAAATAAACTTCAAAAACAAATTATTGATTTTATACATACAAATATACATAAATAACTTTAACATACTTGGAATCTTAATGGTGAATTAATATCATTATATAAAATTTCTAATTGATTTTTTATTGTCTCTTCTTCAGGCCTAAGAGCCATGCCTGCGTTTAATATGACCATTTGACCAACTAATACTTTAACAATCCTGTGTGTTAATTGATCCATTTTATCTGAATATTGTTCGAGCTTAGATTCTACTCTGGTTTTTTTCCTAGCTAACTCAGATAATCTTTCTGCAATAGTGTTAAGTGTTAACTTATGTACTGTAACTTGTTCATTATGGCATTTATATTTCCGACATAACTCTGAAAAACCAACAATTGGCACTGGAATGAATACTGCTGAATTTGGATTATCTGTTTGAGCTTGTTTCCAGACTCGTAAATCAATTCCTATAAAATATAATTTAGATATATTATAATAAAATTATTAACATACCAAAATTATATTTGTTATCTAAAAATTAAAAACAACAAATTTTAGGGTAAAGGTTAGATTAATTCTTTTATTTAATATTAAGTGGTAAGTTTTAGGCAATACCCATATTTCTTTAGATACCAATAAATTGATACATTTTTACAAAGCTTTATATAAATGAACTAATATCATAACATAATCATTAGTCAACTCAAATTTTAGAAAAAATACAGAATGGTTTAGTTGGAAAAATAAAACAATAAAGCCCTAAATAACCCTAAATAAGTATACAAGTAATAACTGCTAATGAACAATTAAAATAAATATTTTTGAAGGATAATAATTTAAATTATTACACTGTATCATATAAATTTATAATTTAATCATATTTTATAGCTTATGCAGTGTATCATTATGATAATAACATTTTAAATTTATTAGATTCAATTTGAATATTTTATTTATTGTAAAATTAAAATTAAAAAATAATGCATGTTAAAAAAATGAACCTTTCCTAATTTTAACTTATATTGAATAAAATTATAAGAAGTACTCTTTAAATATAAAAAAAAATATTAGAAGATTCCCAACTCCATCCCCTCCTAATATTAAAACTGCTAATATCAGTTAAATACAATTAGTCAAAATCACATCACATTTATACTTAATGTATCATGTAATTACATTTAAAAGATAGTATGTATTGCAATAAAATATAATTTATTAATAGTTAAAAATGTTAATACCAGCAGGTGGATTTTCATAATATTCACGTAGATTTTCTTCAGTAAAACCAGTATATGGAAATATATTTTCTATACCCATACTTGATAATTGCTGCTTGGGACCTGGTTGCATTAGATAGTTAATTATATCCATATTAGAAATTCGTTTGGTGCTTCCTAAAATTACACAGTGATTATTTTTTGATTTTTTCTTAATATAAAAATGTAAAGAACTAACCATTTTGAAGTTTTTCTTCTACATATATTAAAGCCATTGATTTTGATTCTGTGTACCATTTTAATGTATCTAAATGTACACTTAAATTTGGTTTACTTCCCAATACCGCAAATAAATTAGATGTTAACTGTACTTCTTGTTTTCTGAAAAATAAATAATAACAAATCTAGTTATATATATATATATATAGTAAAATGATTGGTGATTCACAATAATTTATTCTTTTAAAATGATTTGAACATGCGTGCTAAAGAGAAACTTTTTAACTTCAATTTAATTATACACAGTAAACAAATTGATTTAATTTATTTTCAATATTGGAACCCGATTCATTTTTAAATAGCTAGCAGACTTTACTAATGCATCAAGCAATTTTATTGAATTCATATATTTATTAACATGTCCATAGTATGTATAAATTAAATATCTATGAGATTTTGTCCAAGACTATATTTTTATATTTATATTTATATTTATATTTTATATTATTATTCAACCACTTTAGAAATCAATTATTGTCTTATTATTTAAATTATTTTTTTTTTAATACAACAACATTGAATGCATTTAAATAAAAACAATACATTACTGCACCACATTAAAAAAAAAAAAAAATATTAGAATGTTATGAAAGTCTTTACTTAAATATACTACAGAGAAACAGTTGAAATTAAAAGAAAGAATTTTTTATTTTTATAATAGAATGATGATATCTATTTGGTCACCACTAGATAATTTATCAAACACAAAGTTTACAAACACTAGATTTTATATGGCAGCTAAACATCCAGAGCAAAACCTGTGTGATTTCTCCAAGTAGAACGAAAAACTCAAATACTTTAAAACATGGATTTAATTTAAATAAAAAGGAATTAAAATTTACCAAATTGTAACTCTGAGCAAAGTAATGAATGTATTAGTTTAACAATGTGTTATTTATTTATTATTTTTTCTTTTTTTTTTTAGCAGGACTTTTTAAATTAAAAAAAGAAATCTTTAAATTTAATAAATTTAATCTGATTTGTTATTTTGTAGAGTAAAAGAAGAAAATTCAATGCCTTCAAAATAATTGAGAAATTTAAAATCAAATTTATAGAAGAAATGGGAATATTTACGCAAAACAATTTTGTTATAATTAAAAAATAAATAGCATAAAACTTGAAATTTTTACCAAATATTAGTATTAAAATTTTCTAAACATAATAAAATATTCAAAAATGTTTGCCTACTTGTACTATTTATAAAAATTTTAGTTATTTAAATTTTTTAGTTTGGGGATATGATCCCATTCTTGGTTGGTCTCAACCAAGTTTTTATTAATATAATACATGAATACTATTAAATAGTATTTAGCTTGTGTACTAAAAAGATCTAGACATACATACCTAATGCACTGTATAATAGTAATTACAAATCAATACCTATTTATTACATTTATAATAATTAAATTAATGTGAATTAAAGTTTATACATTTAAAAAAATCATTATCACCTTATTTCATCTATTTTTTTGTTAATATTTATTGCTACAAGTGCATCTCTACTTGATGATGTTGGTTTCACACTGTAAGTAATAGCTTTAAAACGGCAGAGTGGGTTTTGAGGAGTATACTCAACAGGTGGCATATTCAATCCATAAAATCCTAAAAATAACAATATAAATAATCGAGTCATAGTAATAAATAAAATAAACATAACCATTAATATAATGAAATATAAACTGATATAGAATTCTTAAAGGTTGTACCTTTTCCAGTACCCCAACAAGCTTGCAACAAGTTGAGTTTACAAATAACTTGATCTCTTTCATCTCCAAATAATTTACAATTTACAATTGAATTAATTACTAAATCATTAGCATTAGGAGGAGGTTGTTGTTGCTGTAGTTGTGGTTGTTGAGCAGCATTACCTAAAATTTTAAAAATAGAATTATTTAAGAATCTAATTATTAGATTTAAAAAAAACACCAAAATGTTAACATAACACTACAGAGATGATGTTGATTACTAGGGCACGGATGTTGTTGTATTTGCAACTTTTTTTTTACTTTTCCAATTTATAGTTAAGTAAATTTTATATGCGTTTCGTTAAAGTACAAATTCAAATCTAAAAGTTTTAAGTGCAATTTTTTGGACTTTTTTCAATTTTATTACAATTTTGTTGAATTTGCTCATTTATACAACTATTTTAACTATAGCCGAAACTGACAGTCCTATAGATAAGATTATACTTTAATGATTACTAACAACTGCAATGACTTTTAGCCTCACCTATTTCTACCCACTAAGTATTATTATTCTATTGAATCAAACAAATTAGATTTCTAAGTATTATTTTTATAGACACAGAATTACTTAGTGTTTTAAACTTAACTTAGAATATATTTAAAATTGTAATTTATGATTATAACTTATATAATTGAAAATATGTGATCATTCAAAATTAAAACAAATAAAATGAATTTTCTCATTTTCTTGTTATACGCAAATGAAACATTTTTGTTGGGTTAGCTTTAACACTATAGATTAATAATAATCACCTTGAGCAAAAGGAGTAGTTAAATTGAATGGTGATGTAGTTGCTACTGTCGTACCAAATGGCTTGGCTCCAAATGACGAACCAAACCCTCCAAATGAAGAAGCTATAAGCATTAAATTAAATGTTAAATAATTTTTTAACTGTAATAAAATCATTAATTTAAATCTTATTTACCAACTGATGCAGTAGGTTGTGACTGCCCTAAACCAGAAAAAATTGATTGTGATGATGGAGTGGCTGCAGCTGTACCAAATCCAAATGTTGGTGCTGCAGTAGTAGCAGCTGCTCCAAATCCAAATGTTGGAGCTGCACTAGTTGTGGAAGCTCCAAAACCAAAAGAAGAAGCTTGAGAACTCGATGTAGTAGTAGAACCAAATCCAAATGACGGTGCTACAGTTGATGTAGTAGAACCAAACCCTTAAATAATAATTATTTCTTTAGCACAATACAATAATGAGTATTAATTATGTAAATTATTCAACTTTCAAGGTAATAAAAATTAGGATAATCTATAACTTTTAAAGATGTCAGTCAATACACTTTTCATTAATTTTAAAAAATTTACAATAAATTTTTATATAATATATCATCCTGTATATCATTCAAAAAATTTTATTTTTTTTATTTTTATAGTTCTAAGCAAAATAAAATCACATTACCTGTATCAGTATGTAACTTGTAAACACTTAGAGGTAACAAATCCTTATTATTACATTAAAATAACTATTCATTGTACACATATATACAAAACAACAAAATAAAAATGATGATTTAAAAAAAATAGTTTTTAACAGTAAATAATAATTTGAATTAAATCTTGTAAGACTTTTATAGTTTATCCATGAAAAATAATCTTAATTTAATAAATAAAATTATTAACATTACCAAATGGACTAGCAGTCGTTTGAGTATTCATTCCAAAACTGGAAGACGTAGGTGCGTTAAACCCAAAACCTGTCATTCTTAACCTATGTAGTTACTGAATTTCCGTTTCAACACAATGCAATTTCAACTGTAAATCACTGATCACATTCGAATGTTAATAAAAATAATAATAATAACAATAATAACAGAAATTGTAAATTAGAATTATTAGAATTTGTAGATTAAATTTGTTTAATTAATTAACCAACAGTCTTAACGTCTAAACATTATTATTTTAATGACAATCCGTCAAAGTTGCAACTCAAAAATAACGCATTCACATTCACACATTATCGTAATATCGTTATTATTTATTATCATTGTTATTTGTTATAAACTATATAGCATGAAGATGATCATCGGAATGAAGTTGGAAACATTCATAACCTCAAATTCAAATTATATATCAGAAAATCTATTATCACTTATCACCATTGAGATAATAAAGAATTTAGAATATATTAAAAGCACGTTGCCAGTCTATAGTCTATATTCTATATTAAAATAGATTGAATAGAATATTAGACTATTTACTATTTAGTATTTAGACCATGACTACGACCTAAAGTATGAATATTTGAGGAGGAACGCTTAGGATGCAGAACTGTGTTCTTTGACATTTATAACTTAAAGTTTAAATAAAATATAATAGTATATTAGGTATATCTTATTAATTAATATTATAATTATTAATATATATTTTAAATAATATACAAATAATGTTTATAATTTATTTATACACTAGATAACATCTATCGTAATACACTAAGGCTAAATTCATTATTTAATAAAATATTTTAACATACCTACCAATCATCAGTATGAGATTAATGAAATAATATTTACATAAAAAATTGAGGTACTTGTTTGATATAGCTCTGCCAGTACGCCGTAAAAAATGTATCGTCCCGCCACTCTTGTTTGTTATCACCCTGCCTTAAATTAAATAAATAATATATATTATTATTAATAATACAAGAAATCCATAAGTAAGTATATAGGTATAATATATGTATATTTTATTATAATTTTAATGGATATTGGAGGCAAGAACTCAGGTATATCTTATAAGATGGTTTCAAATGCGTCTTGTTCTCCAAGACTAAAAATGGGACAAAATGCTGTGGTCGATTGGAGTAATTATCTATATTATTTTTACCTATTATAAAAAAATTCTAACATAATAAAAATCTCCAATACTTTTTATTTCCCCGTTTAGCAGAATCCCACAACCTCTCGATGTTAAAAGTATTTGACTAACCTTGAGCTTTCCAAAAATCTAACAAAATTATTGTTCCTGGTCTTGTATATTTTTTTAAATAATTACTCCAATCAACCACAGAATTTTATCCCATTTTTAGCTAAATATGATGATTACATGAAGTTTGAACAATAACAGTACACTTGTATCGGAAAACTAAAAGAAATTTTATAGAACCATATTTGGCAAAAATATATGAGGATAACATGTCTTGGAGAACAAGACGCATTTGAAACCATCTTAAAAGATATATCCGAGTTCTGACCTCCAATCTCTATTATAATTATGATTAAATATACATATATTATACCTATATACTTACTTATGCATTTCTAGTATTATTAATAATATACATTATTTATTTATTTATTATATAATTTATTTTATTTATGGCGAGGTGATAACAAACAAGTACTAAAATTAATATACCATCTCATCTTTTTCAAAAGGACATTCATATTTGTGTTAAATAATTAATCATTATTATAATTTATAACTGTCAACTGATATAACCAGAGCCGAACTGGGTCAAAAACTTCTACCGGGAAAATAAAAAAAATGGGCCCACTTAGCCACTAAGGAAAATCTATAAAAACAACCTTAAAAATAACATATATTTTCATATGAAATTATATTATATTATTTTGAGAATTTAAACACTTAAAATTATTATTAAAAATTGAAAAAATTAAAATTTGGTTAGTACAAAGAAATGTTATAAATTTTATTTAAAATACATATTTAGAATTCAGAACTAGAATACACATTAATACATATTAAGCAATTTGTTAAGGTTCGAGCTCTTTTGCAAAATTGTATCGATTATGCCTTAACCGATAAATCTAAAAAAAAAAAATTCTTACGAGTACAAGCAGCCCACCGGGAAACTCCCGATTTCTCCCTGCCCAGTCTGGCCGTAATATAACTCAAGTGTTAATTTAATTTTGTACTCAGAAACCTTTACCTCCATACTCCAGTTCACATAGGACATTGTAAAATATGACAACTAACATGGATTGATTATAATTAATATAAATCAATATTATTTTGAATGAATTAGTATGTTATTTCTATCATGGTAAATATTAAAACACTAAATTATTTATTTATATCTCTTCTTATTTGGTTTCCTTCTGATGCAGCAAAATCAACATAACAAAAAAAAAAATTGATATGTATTGAAAATCAACTTTTTTTCAGATTCCATTGTAAATGAAAACTTACAAAAAAAAAACATAAAAATAACATTAATGAAATTTTGTAAATGTATACTTTTATTTTATGAAAAAAAACGATAACAATTAAAAAATAGTTACATTATAATGCATTGATAATTATTTTGGAATGTATAAAATAAATTAATGCAATATCAAAAATATAAATTTATAACTTGGCACAAAGAATTCAATAATGTTATCGCTTTAATAAACATATTTATAATTCAGGAATATAAAACTGCTCTGCAAAATCTTCTACTTCTTTTGTAATTTCATTGACACGTTTAACAAATACTGGATCTGATGTAAGAGTAGATTTGAAGTTCACTAATTTTGGACCAGATACTTTTTGAGCATCTAATGCCAAACTCAAACCTAATAAATTACAATTAAGTTATATAAAATGTAAAAAAGTAAAAAAAAAAAATATGTATTTTTAGTTAGTACCTTTGTGAATTAATTCAGCAACTTTAATGATATCATTTTCTTTCATTCCTCGTGTAGTAAGAGCTGGTGTACCCAAACGAATACCATAAGGATTCATTGCACTTTTGTCACCAGGAACTAATATTTAAAGATAAATTATTTATGCTTTAACTTAATCACATAAATTTAATGAATATTTATAGATTAATTACCAGTATTCTTATTGCACACAATCTCTACAGTTTGAAGTGTAAACTCTGCTTTAGAACCTGTTAAATTAATCGGTCGAAGATCAACCAACAACATATGCACATCTGTACCACCAGTAGATATTTTGTACCCAAGCTGTTTAAGAGATTCAGCTAATTGTTTACAATTGCTCAAAACTCTTTTTTGATATTCTTTAAATGGCTGGGTAGTTGCCAAGCGCATAGCGGCTGCTATTCCTGCAATAGCATTATTATGAGGACCTCCTTGAAATCCTGGGAAAACAGCAGCATTTACTCGGTCTTCTAAATCATACATAACATTTTCACCAGTCTTTGATACCGATTTAACTCCTAAATTAAAAACATTTATGCATTAATTTATAGTTTTATATGTTAATAAAATGTATGACAAAATTTACCTTTACGATAAAATATAACTCCAGCTCGAGGCCCTCTTAATGTTTTATGAGTAGTAGATGTGACCACATCACAATATTCAAAAGGAGAAGGAATAACACCAGCAGCTACTAAACCACTAATATGTGACATATCAGCCATCAAATATGAATCACTAGCCTGAGCTATTGCTTTAAAACGTTTATAGTCTAATGTCCGTGGGTAAGAAGTTACGCCTATAAACAATTGTATAATGTAAGTAAAATTGTTACATATATTTTAAAATATTTATTTATACATACCAGCAATAATAATATCAGGTTTAAAATTCTTTGCAGATTTTTCCAACTCATCATAGTCAATTAAACCAGTTTCCATATTTACATGATATGGTAAAGTTTCAAAAAATATTGATGCTGCAGACAATCTTTTTTTTTGAGCCATTAGACCGTGACTGATATGACCACCATCTGGTAAATCCAAGCCTATCAAAAAACATTTAAAATTTAAATATTAATTTATTCTCATTGCATAACATGATATACATCATACAGTAGTAAGATAACGCATTTTATTAATAATAATATACTTAACAACCAGCCATTAATACTTGTAACTAATTAATAATTTTTAATTCTTCTAATTTATTGTTGTTTATTTCTTATCTTATGTCGTTTGTATATCATTTAATATATTAAAACAAAATTTATTAATCTGCATAAGCTACCACTTCACAATTGTTCATTAATATTAATATTATTTATAAACTATTTAACTCTAAAATTGTTAAAACATTAACAAGTCTTTTTTATCAAAAGTTAATTAGAAAAACTGCTTGTTCAATACTAGTGCATTTTCATAACTACATTAACATGTTAATTTTGCATATGTAATAATTAAAAATTACAAAAATATAAATAATAATAAAATATTTACCCATTATTCGTCCTTTGGTTCCTCCAATAAGAGCAGTATAAGCCTCAACATTTGCTGGTGAACCTGAGTATGGCTGTACATTGACACCCCAAAGATTTGGATCCAAAGAAAATGTTTCAAGACACCTTTTTTGACATAAAACTTCAATCTGATCAATTACTTGATTACCACCATAATATCTACCAAATAAATTTATAAATTGTAAAATAATTTTAAATAAAATGTACCTATTTTAAATACCTTGCACCTGGAAGACCTTCTGAATATTTATTAGTTAAACAAGATCCTAGACATTGTAAAACCGATACCGAGGTAAAATTTTCTGATGCTATAAGTTCAAGTCCTTTTTTCTGTCGGCGAGACTCTTGACTAACTAAAGCATACAATTCAGGATCAGCTATCTCCAATGGGAGGCTTAAATTTGGATCATCCAGTGATTTTGTATAAGACTTTGCTTCCATTGTACTAGTTGACATAGTCATTAATTTAAAAAAATGAAGCATGCTTATAACATATAAACAAAGTCTACCAAATTAAATTTTTTAAAAATAAAAAATATTGAAAAGCAAAAATAAAAAATTATTTACTTGATAGATTAAAATTAAATATAAATTACCAATAGCTATATACACTATTCATATATTAAACAACACTAAAATGTAAATTCCAAACAGTAATACCTAATATAAGTAGGTAATTTCTTTTTAAAAACACGAGCAAAATTCTTCTTACTTTGTTTTTGTAATGAAGTCGTTGAGCATTAAC